TATATATATATATATATATAATGCAAAGTTAAAATTATTTATGCACAACTTCAGCTTTCAATCGGGCTGCTAGAGCCCTTCGTACTTGAAGTATTGAAGGATCTATAGCTTGCGCTGCTTCTAATTCTTGTTCTCCTTTCAGAGTTGCTTCAGCAACTGTTCTAGCGGAACTCGGACGAGTTTTGTTCATTTCTAGCTGATGACTCCTAGCTTCCTTTTTCAAAGCCACAAGTTTATCTCGCCTGGCTTTCAGGTATTCTTGCCTCTTTTTAATATCTTCTGCATTCATCTGCAAAATGGAAGCAATACAATACATTTTTATTTTCATACACATTATTGTAGATTGAAATCTTCTAGTCATGTTCATTTGTCTATTTGGAATTACGTGTATTGTACGTGTATTGATATCACATAAATGCAAGTAAATCAAAAGTTAATAATAGTAATACCTCATTTTCAGATTTCTTTTTTGAAGTCGGTATTGGTTTGAGAGGCTCGTTCTTCTTGAGTTGAAGTTTATCTAGTGGCTTTTTCTCAGCCGATATAGTAGCACACTCAAGTTCTTCCGTTGACTCGTCATCCGAAGTATTCTTGGAATCATCTTTTGATCTTCTTAATGCTTCTTCCAATAACGCTCTTTCATTATGGTATTCGGCAGCTATACGCTCGTGTTCAGCAATCAATGTTGTTCCTGAGGATATACTTGGTTCTTCTTCGCTTTGATCTTCCAGAACACGTTTGCTGTGCACACATATGAAAGATACATAATTCCTCCGACACAAAAATCGTTCCTATTTTTATAAACATCTCTAATTCTTGTACGTTTCCGGTAGACATATTGACTAATTTATTGATATATTTACGATATAACGTACTGTATCAAATCCTCCATGACCAGTTCGTCGTCAAGGAAGCCATCAGTCTCGTATACGAGAGAGGCAGGTGTGAGACCGTATTTTTGTTCGATCATATTTAGCGCTTGCAGCTGGAGCTCCAAGTTCTTTTGTATCATCATTCTTTTGAATATTTCGTACTCATTTGCTGCCCATATTTGTTCGAACAGATTCTGTAAAATACGCGATGGTATAATTTTTTGGAAAAGATGGATACAAAATATAGATAAATTAAATCATGTAATTTTCATAAACGTATACCATTCATTTTTTGTGTTATAAGATGCGTTCGGGGAGCCGCTATTAGTGCTATTTGTGTCATTCTATCCTTGTTTTATGTCTAATAAATAATCAAGATAGAATGATAAAAGCGCTAATAACGTCTCCTTGAACGCACCAAAAATCTTTAAATATT